GCCAAATTTCATAATTAGCGTTGCATGGTCTTCGGCGGCTACTGTACAATGTTATGTCTCCTTGTGCACAAGTTAGAAACATAAAAAGAAGATGAACAATTATATTGAAGGAGACGCGTTCCTTGGTATGACGAGCAAACTTTATTCAGTACATTTGCTACACTGTATTCTTAGGTTGTCGTCAGATTTGAAATATTTTGCAACGAGCAATTAACATTTGCGTCGGTCGGGGGTCACTCCGGGTCATCCGGTGTGGGCGCTAATTGCGGTTCACGTTGGTTCATAGTGATCGGCTGTAGTCTCTGTCACCTTTCTTTGAGATGTTTGTATACTCCATCCAACTCGATACGTCGGTTAATGCATGAATCATCGGAGCGCATGGCCTCAGAAAATTCTCGGTCTTTTTGGAGGTGCAACCTTCGACGGTGCGTATTAAGTCCCAATGAAAATGTGCTTCCTGTGTCAAGACAATGCATAGCCACTTCGGACAAATGTTCATGCTTCTTCGCTGCCAATTGATGCTCGTGGATTCGTGAGGAGACGGATCTTCCCTTTTGGTCATAATATATGGTATCACAAACTTTGCAGAGGTTTTATATATATTCAATCAGCCGTTTTTGCATTCAAAATCATAGAACGAGACTTCAAAGTGATCAAATATGATGCAAAGTACATTCATATGTAGAAAAAGGTGAGTTCTTTCATCTCCAGCCAAAATGCTATTTTTTTTTCTAGGAAATTAAAAAATCTGGTCAAGATTCTCCATTGTCACTTTGACATTACTTCAGCTGACTATCCAAGTAATTGCCCTGTAAAGAGGTAACATGTTATAAAATTTTTTTTTTAAATTCATCTTAGGCATAACAATATCAAACTTCTATTTTTGACGTTTTTGCTCGATAATGAGTCTTAGTGTTTTGCCTGCTTTAAATATATGACCCCCAAAGCTATATTCACAAGAACAAACATTCAAAGATTCATGTTTTTGATAAATGCTTTTAGTAAGTAGTTTTTTGAGGTTTTCACATACACTTTGAACAAAGTCTGCGTTTATGGAAGAAAGCTTTAAAATCGTCGAATAGGAATTTAATGGACGGTCTGAAACTTATTGTAATCTAATACTGAAAATCTGCATAAAGAAAGTAGACCAAATAAAAGTTCTTTTGATATAAAGAAAAAAAGTATGGTTATGATTTCACCTGGAGGTTATACGTAAGTAATGTACAGCTACATTAAACGTCTGGGGAACTTGTGTATTGTAAAGAAATTTTATTCTTCTTAGTTATAACAAATTCGCTTAAGGTTCTTCATTATAACTTCAAACTTCTTGTACACGCGTTAATGTCGATTAGCGAGTGAATATCGATCCTTCGGCATTTTGCATGACATTTTGACCGCACTGTAAGTAGTCCTAATTCCTGTGTATCAGACGCATTACTTCAGCTGCGGTCACCGCATACCTTGTTCTTCTCTCCAGTCTGTGAACTCGTTGCTGAGGGCATTGTGGCCATCTTTGTGCCGGTCTACCCGAAGACGCTGACTATTGTGAAATCTATGACCCTGCAGCATGATGTCCTCGTCTTCACTACGGCCGATGCTCATCATTTTGGCACCTCACAGCAGGAACTCAACGACTCCGTAAACGTTATTAAGTTGCGGCCATTAAAAGCCCCGGCTATCATCGACTTCATCCTAGACGCCGGCTGGGAGGATGTCCTCTACCTCTACGAATCTCAGCAGGGTAAGTTTCAAATTGCCTTAAGTTAGAGTTTCGAATATTGTCTAAACTCTAATTTGTTTTGCATGCCGAGTTCCCTTAACAATGTCGAATAATCATCTGCTTAGCAGAGATTAAAGTATCAAAATTCTACTTGACCAGATGAATGACGTAGATTAGAGAGAGCGCGGGGCAGAAACACCCTCTACTTTCAAAGTAGCATTAACATATTTACGGCAATAAAACTGCTTCTCTATAGACGGTGAGCAAAATGTAGAGAGATAAATGGCGAGATGATATGCAGGTTTGGACAAAACTGCATGACTAGTGGGGTGACTGCTGGGGTCTGGGTTTCTGTCCTTCGGTATCGTGTTAAAGACGGCAATATTTAACTTTTATATGAAAATCATGAGTTGAGCAGGATTTAATGACGTCATAAATTTTCGTGACCACTCATTCAGCTGCAGACGATCGTTGCCTATTAATAAGAGAATTAACTGTCCAATTAAGTGTCAGCCTCGAAGGGTGAAACTTGATAGATATAGGGACTAGAAACAATTAGTCATAGATGTGGGCGTATGGTGAGGGGTAGAGGAGGGGGAGGTAATTGTC